ATAAAAAATTTTAAATCTTTGGCGATTAAACCAGAGAAAATACATTCCCAGCTACCAGTTAGCAACAAAAAAAAAAAGATCGCTGAAAGGGTCAAATGTCCCCATGACGTTGCTCCAAAAACTAACATTGGTTAGTGTTTTACACAAATTCAAGCGCTGCTTTACACAGATTCCTTGTGCTTTTTGTAGTTTTATAAAAAAGCGTTTGCAGTGAGCACAAAAGCTACAAATTTTCAAAATTCCGAAAAGATAAGTCAGCTGAAGTGGAAGTCTTCATTAATTAGGGCAGCCATTTCGCTGGACTCATGCACGGCGTAGTTCAAACCGCAGAAGCATAGCGGATTTGCTACATAACAACCACTGAACAGCCGTCTTGATAAAAAATACTTTGTAAAATTTCGTATCTGCTTGATTTATACTTCTCGAAGCAAAAAAAAAAAAAAAAAAAAATCTAATGCTTGAAAAACTAAAAACTAAAGAGGACAAAATGCACTCATAAAACGCCAAAAAACAAAGACTTTTCCTGAAATGCTGTCACCTGGAGTATTCATACAACGCAAAAAAGAAAAACAAAAAGGAGAAAAAAAACAAGCAGAGGCAGTCACTTTTCGGAGATATTAAAAGCGGATGCATACTTCTTCATTCGACTGATCCAGTTTTTCACCAAATGTAGATAATATATTGTTTTTGTCCGGGTGCTCCGGCTGAAGTTCCTCTTCCGCTTCAAATTTAGCAGCTATTTCCAGTATCGTCTTCTCCTCCAACACATTACCCTGATCAGTGAGCTCCCGTTTCTCGTCCTCATTCTGGCTTTGCAATGTTACCGAAGAATTCTGACGGCTTTCTTTCAAACTTACACTTGTTTCTTCTATTTTCTGAACAGAAAATAAAAAGCAATAAAATAAAAAAAAAAAAAAAACAAAACTTCCACAAAAAAGAATCAAAAAAAATTAAATGATCTGAATCATGTCACCATGCAAAAAATATGCCTTGTTAAATTCATGCAACACTCTAAATAACTTAAATGCTTTTTTTTTAAAAAGAAAAGCTAATGCAAAAAAAGTTGATAAAAATAGAACATACGTTAGACTGAGCAAATTTTTCGTCCTCCAATTTGTCCATTTCGTTTTCCGGCTGAAAGAGAAAATTTTGTTTGACATAACTGCCTTTTTGTGAGTAAGCGCACGTTTTTAGAAAGAAGTGAATTGTTTGGCTGCATACGGTGGCAGTGATTTACCCGTAATTTAACCACAAATTGTGCAAAACAGCCCCAAAGAAAGACACCTAATTTTTGTGGGAGACCGTTGTAATCCGAAACACTCCCGGATCACGTATGGCAGCAACGATTAATTCCACTGATCCCAGCGCTTGGCAAACTTACGGGGCACTGGAGAGCTATTTGAAAAATAATATTCCAGAAGTGACCGCATTACTACACAGCAATGGCCACAAAAAACGAAGCTTGAACTGCTCACAACTTGTTTAAAAGGATGTCGCAGTACTGGGAGGAAAATTATGCAGCGATCCTTTTACGAGAATGACGAGGGGCGGAAGATGGGAGAGGGCAGGGGAGGGGGCGGGGGCTTTTGAGTTCTCGAGTCATTCGCACCCCTTATACCAAATCTGTCTTGCAGAGAAGCATTTGTAGAGCTAAAATTTAGATGATAAGTACAAGCGGAGCACAAAAAACAGCTATCGCCGAGGGAAACTGATGATAAGAATGAAAATGGGAGGGAGGCCTGGAATGTGTGCTGACACCGAGTATCGCTGACCATAAATATATATGAGACGATCGCTGAACGGCGTTTACAGAGCAATCGACGAGGGGAGGAGAGAAAACGAGAGGCGGACTCTCTTCCGCGTCTGGAGGAGGTAAGCGAGAACCATCCGAACGCGAAGGAGGAAAAAATGTGCAATAAGCAGGGCTCGTCAAATTCGGCTGGGAATTTTTGGCCGGAGCGGTAGCAAAACTTCGCCAAAGGCAATGATTTGATTAAGAATTAATAAACCATACCGGAAAATATTAAATTAAAACAAGTTGCGGGGGAGAGCGAAATGAATGGCGATGAGATCCAAATCTATCCGATCACAGCCGCCAGCCTGTCATTTCGAACGCCGAATATATCCTAGTTATGGATGAATGAGTCTCTGCTGTCCGATCGCACAACACCCTCATCTCCAGC